GACAGCTCTCAGATTTCATCAAAAATATCTTAATTTGTGTTCCGAAGATGAACGAAGGTCTTACGGGTTTGAAATGACATGAGGGCGAGTAATTAATGACAGAATTTTAATTTTTGGGTGAACTAACCCTTTAAAGGTCTTGGGGATTTTAGATAAATAATTTTTACAAATGTTTTGGCGATTCCTCAATTACTAAAACTGAATTACAAAAAATAAAACTGAAATAAATTAAAAAAAATATATAAAAAATATGCTCATGAAATAAAAAATAAATTGAAACTACTAAAACCCTTGAAACTGAAACTAAAACTGACATTTAAATACATTGGAAAACTATATATATATATATATATAATAAATACAAATATGAAAAAGCAAACTCATCATTAATTCACTCATTGGGTAAAGGTTTCAGCGCTCTGCGGGCACCCTGTCTGTCAGACTAAGGTGGATTACACCTTTCCAGAGGATAGACATGCTGTACGGCAAACAGCAGTAAAATCCTAATGAGTTTATGTAAATATAGGAGCTTTTAATTAAAAGTAGATGGTGAAGATTCAGAAGCATTAGGTTCTTCTGACCACTGTGGCACACTGACTCAAACAGGCATGTAGCGTTTTCATAAACACAAAAGAGCAACGGGAACATGCCTGGTTCTTCTCCACACATCTCAAGTTTGAAATCAGCCCAGACATCTGTGGAACACCCTGATACAGTTACTTTACCCCAAACTAAACAATATGGTTGAAGACAGTTTGAAATAAAACTTTCAATTCGCATTTGGTCTCGTTCTGTATCGCGTATCTTGTCAGTGTCTGCGCTTGCTTGGCCATTTGTTGTGAAAAAATAAGGAAAGTGTGCCCAGCTGAATTAATTTAGTATTTTGTTAGAGGGGTATTAAAAAAGCTTAGTTTACCGCGGCAGCCGTCGCATGATGGCCTCCTTGTGTGAAGACCGAAGAGTGTAAAGACTATCGACTCAACCGTGCGACTCCACCGGGCAGGGACACCGGCAAAGGATAAGTATCGCTTTTTATTTCTCCTCTTTCCTACTACTTGTTTCACTTCTGTTTCAGTTTTTATAACCATTTCTTACTATGTGTAAGTAAGTTGTTGTTTTTTAACATGTAAGTTTGGCAGTGTTATTTTTTAGGATTACTGATAAACTACTGTCGTTTGATTTGTATTATTTGTATTTATTTGTTTTATTATTTATTATTTGTAGTTAAATTATGTCTGAATTTCTTATGTCTGTATAGTTTTTTTATTAAGTTTTAGTTTTATTTAATTTGAGTTATTTTAATACTTCAACAAACTAAATGGAAATGAAATAATATATGTATATTGAATTTATAAATGTTTATGTATATATATGTATGTGTGTGTGGTTGTACATACACATATATGTAGTTTTTTGTGTGTGTTTGGCTTAGTGTTATGTTAGAATCATTAGTATACTCTTATACCTTTTGTTCTTTAATATTTTGAATTGTTTTTAGCTTTATTTTTTTGTTTTTCGTTTAAAGGTTAAGTTTTGAAAATTTGTTGTATGCATTTGCCATTTTTATTTAATTTCTTTATTTTTAAAATGTTTATAAGTAGTATTTATAAAATTTTAGCTTTTAGTTTTGGATCTGTTTTTAGTTGTTTTAATACTACAATTGATTGTTTCTGTTGTCCTCATTTGTAAGTCGCTTTGGATAAAAGCGTCTGCTAAATGACTAAAAAAATTAAAAAAAATAAAACTTAGCTGTAATAGTGTCAAACTGCCAACAATCATCAAATATAACCTTAATAATGTGATTCTGTTTGGATTACTCTAATTAGTAATATGGGTTTAAATTATATCAAGGATCTTGTGACATTGACACAAGATCCACCAATGGCGTGAGTTTGGGGCAGGGCTAAATGTCTGCTTAAACAGCTGCAAATATGAGGAGTGTTTAAAGCTAGTTCTCACTCACTCATAAAAGAAACATCTGAACCCCTATGGATGTGAGGTTTGGGAAGGTGATAGGGAGGCAGTCAGCAGAGGTGGCAAAGAAGCAGGAGAGCAAGTAATGAAAGTAAGGGAAGAATAAATCAGCTCGATTAAGATGAACGGAACCGTGTGATTGCTACTCCTGCTCTTTGATTTAACTCCGAATGCTTCGCTCTGTGATCAGCTAATCTACTGACAGGTGGCCTCGGAGTAATTAAGCTGAAGGGCTCTTGTTTAATCGCCTCTGGAGCGAGCATTCTGGGAGTCTGACCCCACATTCCTGGGGTCTTGCCCATTATATGCGTGCACACACAAACACACACATACACTGAAACATGGGTCTGCAGCTAAAGTCATGTTGGAGTCTTGATGTATGGCATTGTGTGGCGGCTCCTGTGTTCCTGATGATGCTTTTGCATTGAAATCACCTGAGCTGGAACGCTTTCGCATGCTCTCAAGCATCATTGATTTAATGATGGTTAATCTTGAATAACATTTATAGAGGATAATGCATTAAGTGTGGTGTAAAGTGGTAAAAGGTACACATGCCTTTGGCTATACATCAGGATATACTGTATATATACATGTAGTATTTAGTACTTACATTTATTTCTAATTTTTGTTTCATTTATTTTTTAAGATTTACATTTATATCTAATGAACAGAATGAATAATAATAATTAACACACACACGCCCATAGGTGTAATGATTATATATAGAGTGTGAGATATATATATATATATATATATATATATATATATATATATGGTTGACTGTTACAGCACCACAAAATGTTATATGTAAATGTATAATTATTTTGTTATATGATATATACACATTTTGAGTGACGTGACGTGTGGCCAAGTATGGTGTACCATACTCTGAATGTGTGCCCATCCAAGTTCATACACACACAGCTGTGAGTAGTGAACACACACACCCACACCGTGAACACACACCTAGAGCAATGGGCAGCCACTTTTGCAGCCCATTTTGCAGTGCCCAGGGAGCAGTTGGGGGTGCTCAAGGTTCTCACCTCAGCCATGGTATTGAGGGTGGAAGAGAGCACATTCACTCCCCCACTTACAATCCCTGCCGGTACCAAGACTCGAATGCGTGACCTTTGGGTTACAAGTCTGACTCTCTAACCATTAGGCCATGACTGCCCCTATATAACATTTTGTGGTGCTGTAAATGGAATAACATAGGTTAGTCAACTTCACCACCTGCCAACCAGTCGACCTTTGTGACACAGTAACAACACACCTATCAACAAATCATTAGGTATCTGTGATCAGAGAAGCAGAAAAGCAACAATAGATGTGCTAAATAAAGAAATCGCTCAAGGACAGATGACACAGACATTCCACACACATACACTGAGAATGATGTGTTTTGCTAACTGGCAGAAACACTGCTATTGCCTCTAAAACAAACTTTTTTTTAGAATGTGAGGGGGCAGTCTGTGCCGTCCTGCTAAACCAAAATGCCTACATGACAGCATATACACGTGTGTGTGTGTGTGTGTGTGTGTGTGTGTGTCTTTTTGCATGTAAGGTTTGAGAGTGTGCTGGACAGTAACAGGCATTCTCTAAGGCTTTAGCGAACTTTCCTGCCGGCTCCAGACCTTATATAAAATGTGTGTGCAGAGTAGATGCTGAGGTAAAGGCTGCTCTCTTATCGTCTGCCTTTAGACTCAAAAGCACGGCGTAGAGCCAGCACCACACTCACTGTGAGATGTACACACACAAATGGAGCCAGTTACCGGGAAAACTGAATTATGTAGGAGACTGTGTGCATTGACCAGAAAATTTGAGTTTCCCAAAGCGTCACTACGTGATATAAAATTCGATAAAACACACACACACAGAAGCAAGGAGTACGGGCAACTTTATACCAAGACATACTATACTAACTCAACTTCATCATGACTAACGTTGTAGCTCCACTAATGTGTCTGGAATCTCTTGTGAGATCAGTTCTTAAAAGGCTCACCGTTTCTCTTCTCCCTCTGATTGATTTGGGTCCTGCTCCTTGGGCATGTGTTCCATTCACCTTATTTCCATCCAGCAGCCAATCATGTGAGACTGAGGCGGGCCCCACCCTCGAATGCACGCCTGTCATTCGCGGGATGTGATGAGTCAGACAGTCATCGGACAGCTCTGCGGAGCGACGCTCGCAAACCAACCCCACCTCACTCTCCAACTCAGATGGCCAGTGATAATGCAGCAATATGTGATGAGGTCTGGAAAAAAAAGAAGAGAGAATCAAAGTTAGCATGTGCTCTAATCAATGCAGAATGTTGCAATAACTTGCGGTGATTAAAAAACTTTTGCATTTTTTGTGAGTAGCATAAAGTTTCATGGGGAACGCAAAACTTTTGTGAGTGAATGCAAAGTTTATCTGGTGAAGTTTCTTGGGGGAGTGCAAAACTTTTGTGAGCAAACAAAAAGGTTATCTGGAAGGCAATTATAATGAGATATAATTGTTCATCTGATCTCCTATTTTTTTGTGGGGCTCCATACAAACTAAGAAGTATATGCGAAGCTAAATATTTTTAAATTTATTTATAATTCATGTATTTATAATTTATATATTTTAATATTTATTTATAATTTATATATTTTATTTGTTATTTGTTTTATCTTCATAGCATTTTCACCACTAGGATCACTAATATTGAGACTGAGAGTTTACAAATAAAAGTAATCTTGTATCAATGTATTAAAAAATAATGCCATGACCCTCACAAACTTTGGCAAATCTCACTATAGTGGATTTAGTCAATTGTATATATTTTAAAATAATAACATAAAATAGATAAATAAATAAATACATACATATTCCAGTATCATAACTCTGGTCTACATTCTAGTCTGAAACTGAGTGTCAAATGTGTGTGCACCCCCTCCTCTTTTAGCTGTCTGTCCCATGTGACATGCTTCCCATGGGCTCTCCAGACCATAGCCGGCTCACTGGAGACAGCAAGCACAATTTCCAGGAAACAATTTCGATTAGGAGGGCCCTAATTCCATCTCTCCCTTTACCCTGTAAAAACCCAGGAGCTCACGTGCACCGCTAGGCTGCTCTTTCACTTCTTTGGCAGCAGCAATGTGTCTTAAAACCTGTGTAAATCGCAAGGCCTCGACTGCCTCAATAATCTAGATTAGGTGGTGGGATATTGAGAAAAATTATGATCTCGATTCCACAGGCTACTTGATTCTGATGAGCTGGATCATTTAAATGGTCATTTCACCCGGATATGTCGTCGCTTCCAGTCTTTTAACTGTGTGATTAGACTTATTTGTGTATGCAGACTGTACTGAATTGGACACACAAGTCTAAATATAATAGATGAGATTAGACAAAGGAAGTCGACGTGTACAAGCAAATTAGAGATTTAGCAACACAACTAATCGTTATCCAAACTTAAGTCTCTGTTATGTTGTTGTCACAGGTCAATGAGGTCAGACAATGAGCCAAAAAAAAAAAAGCCACTGATCCGGGGTTTTTTTTTTTTTTTAAGAATTGGGTGGTATACCAACTTTGTAATGTACACCGATATATTTTCAAAAACAATAAAGAATGAGACAATACTGTTGAAAGTACATTGAAATACAGTCGTTTTGATGTTGTGAGTGCATCTGAAAAAACTAAGGGCACAGAGTGAGCAGCTGCGGGGAAAGATCCAAATAGTCCTAAACACGAGACATGCTTTATATTAAGGACTTCAAGCTTGTTCATGAGCATTTACTTAAACTCGGCTTGCCCTGTCAGGTGCTCTGCCAGATACATGTGCTAACAGATACAGTGTGCAGTTTGAGACGTGTTTTCCTCAGTGCATAACTTATGTTTCAAGTTATATTCTCACCTCTAAATGTAAGAAAGTCACATGAGTATTTCCATTTTGCATAAAGGCTTATCCAGACAGCAAGTGAGTCTATGCTAAACTTCACAGACTTCATGTCAAACAAGCGCAATATAATACAATAATTCTGAGTAAAATACACATTTTTATATAGCTTTTACTAAAACATTTGTTGTTATATATGTAGATTTAAAAATCTAAATGTGGCACAAGCAACTGTATTTTTATGAGAGCAGTAACTATAAAGGACTAGTGTAATATAATTATTATATTCATATGAGTGAAAGTGTGTTCCTTTGACCTCTTACCAGTTTTTTTTTGCGCATAATGTACAGCCTAGACTACACAAATAAATTCATATTTTCATCATCATATTTTTAAAATAAATACAGAAAATAAAAACTATCAATTAATTGATTAATTAAAGAAATGATCAAATTGCAGCCCTAGTTTAGTTATTTGGAGATTATCCTGATTTAAAGGATCAGATAAGCAGCGAAACCATTTCATCTGTATAGAATGCCATGATTATGTTGCATCTAAAAGTGGAAGTAGTGTACATTCAGCCTAGTCTGTAGAAAATACCAAGATGTATATCGTAAATTTGCCATCAGCCTAAAAATACACAGATTTATGGCCCGTATCACTCAGCCCCAATTCTTTCTTCAAAGTAAAGTTGTCTGGCCTTCTCTTCAAAGGCATCTTAAAGTGAAAACTGATATATCGAGGCAAATTCACAAAGTGATCTGCTGACAGATGAGCATGTGTAAGTGTATATTGATGTTCCTTTGGTATCTATTATGCACACAGTTACTAAGTGCACTCCCCAAACAGAAACCGAACATGCCGTGCAGGCCCTCTGAATCCGTCAATGAATGGGTGGCTGTGGACCAGAGGGGGGAATTAGATCGTTTTATTGTGTGTGAAGAGAAAGGAAAGGATCTGGTGGCTTAAGCTCAAAGCTTGACAAAGCACAATCACAGAGCTGAGACCCGCAACGGGACTCCATGATACTCGTATACTGATACGGCAGGGATACGCTTGCGTATCGCCGCATCCGAACGGCCCATATTCTGACTGAAGAGGTGCTTGGTGATTCAAGCACATGGCTAGTGTGTGACGCAATCCTTTGACAATGAAGCCAAGAGGACATTTGTTCTGCATTAGTTAATGCTCAGCTGGCCTATCATCTTTCATCGGAGTTGCCTGTTCACATATTCGCCAGCCTAAAAGGCCTTTTCATCTGCCTGTCCAGCTGATGTGTGTTAAAATGTGTTCCCGTCTATTGTGTGTAGAGTTAAGTGTGTGTATGAAAATGTTTTTAAGCGGGTTATTACCAAAACACTGGTGACACTCGGTGGGACCGCTGCAACTAATCACAATAATTAGTCTCCAATGATTAACAAAGGATTCAAGAGGATTATGAGTTATGAAAGAGAAGCTGCTCATACAGTACTTCAAATGGTGATGCTGCCTCCTGATTGGTGGATAGGCCCTTGAAGGGATTGTTCAAACAAAATTAAACGTTCTGTCTTATTTTTTTTTGTCACTTACATTTCATTGCAGATCTGTATAAATCTGTATACTTCTTTTTCTTGTGTACAGCAAAAAAAAGATGTTTTGAAGAAAGTTCATGTTGCACTCTTCACACAATAAAAGTGGATGGGGATCATAAAACAAAACTGAAGTAGTCCTCTTTTTTCAAATCGTCAAAAGCCATACAACCACTTTGTTTGAGGAACAAATCAGAATTTACATTTCTCATGGTGACATCTCTAAAAAAAAAAAATTTTTTTTGACTCCTCAGTGATAAAATGCAGATGACAATTTATTTACTGTGGAGGGGCAAGTTTTGTGATTCTATAAACACGGAAAAGCACTTTTCACATGGCCCATCACGTTCAAAGTTTTTTTAAATATCAAAAAGGATTTATAAAATGACTTTTTGATTGATCCCTTCCTGTAAACTCAGAGATGCAGTTATATGCCTTATGTCCCCCATGAGAAACAATTATTGTCTGAATAGGGCTTATGGAAAAGAGCAGCTTAGACACAATGCTAAATATATCCTTTTGCGTTCTACAGAAGAAAGAAAGTCACATGGTTATCAAGAACATATCAAGGGTGAGTATATGATCATTGAATTTTGGGTCAACTACAAACATACACACGGACAGTCTCGTCGCTGCCCACGCCTGTATACTGTAGGAGGTCCACCTCTCCCTCCTGTTCAGTCAAGGTCAAAGTCATAAAGCCCCATACAATCAAACATACGGGATCTATAAATGTAGCTTTACAAGGCAGGGCTCCTGTTAAACATGCAACTGATTGAGAACAGGGACAGGAGGGAGACCAGAAGCAAGAGAACGAGAAAAAGAACACAGCAGATTAAGTTTAATTCAGCATAGGGCCATAAACAAGGAAAAAAGCAGAGGTTGTGTTTGTTAATGATGACTGTTTGTTTTAGTGTCTGTGTGTGTGTTTTGTAAAAAGTGCAAAGGGAGCCAAAAATGCACAAAGGCCACATAAATTTTAAAGTGTAGCATTGCAGGTATCTTTGACACTGCACCTGTGTACGTAAGCCAAATGTGTGCGGGAGTGGGTATGCTGTGTGTGTGAAGGGCAACGCTTGACATATATGTTGACACAGTGCATACATTGGATATAAAAACTGCAGCAGGTGCAGCTGAGTAAGGGTTTCAGCCTCATTTTTCTTGCTGCAAGTTTGTCACTGTTTTCTGCATTCTCAAATGCGGCACTAAAACTTTTTAATTGGCAAGAAGAAAGTGGACTCTGTTTGCCTACTTTCTTCTTGCCATTAATTCAATGCTTTAAAATGCTGGTTTGAAAGCAGCCTGAAAAAGAATAATTAGTTAGTATGTTGCAGAGTGAAACGGCCTCTGTTAATTAGCCAATCTCTCTCACTCTTTCTCTCTTGTTTCATTCAGGAGAGAAGGCTCCAGTCTTCCTAATATAGAAAAATTATTTTATAATTATATTTCTATAAACATTTTTACATCACAGCCACAGTTCAATTAAATTACACAGCAAGTTTAAAAAAAATCTTTAAAAAATGTTAAGATGGTTAAAATACTGGCATTTTCATCTGGTGGGATTTGACAGGTTGGCCGCTATGAACAGCTAATGACAGAGCACTGATGATTCAGGAGATAAAGATTCCAGACTGTGATTTGATATGATCTCAGTGAAGGCCACGCTGTGCAGATGCCATTATGCCAGTCGGAGCACACCATCCTATAATGAATGTTTCACAAAGACGACTAAGCCACAAGAGATCCTTGTATAACCAATCAACTTGCCACCTTCGAAAAAGAGCATTTTCTTGTGCCAAAGGGATTGAAAAATGCTACTTTGCT